GAACGAACGGAAGCATCGACGCCGGCTCAACCCATCGCCAATGCCGTATCCGAGACGACTCACGTAAGTAAATTGATAACTTCAGCTCTTCAGTAACAATGATATTTCATTTGAATATCAAAAATCTATTAAATAAACACGAAAACGCGCGCGCTCGCAGCGCGAAAGTGGGGTTAGGTTAGAGCTCGGCTTGTACGGTATCATTATTTATTATCTGGTACCTGTTAATTGACAAAAACTTTGCATTAAAGTCATAGTATTTTTGCACAGAATGTGTTTGCACATATCCAACTGTGGATTAAATCATTATTTCTAAACTTGTTTGTAATTTGTGTAAGTATATATAATCTAATTACATTAACATCAGAGAGAAAGAGAGAGAGAGAGAGAGAGAGAGAGTTAACTGGTAAATTAGATTTCACTTATATATACTGCTTTAAAGCTAATATTGTGATGGAGGAATTACATTAAATCAATTGTTGAATTGAAGTTATTGAAGGAATCAAAGCTTAGAGTTATTTATACAATAGCTTAAATTAGTATTTCTGTGAACATTGCTCGTTGATCTATAAATTTTATATTCTTTTGGTTTACAGAAAGTAATAGGAATGGATAAAGATGGGGATATGTCTGGTGTACCAGCAAAGAAATCTCGTGTCGAAGTGCAATCTCTTCCAACTAGACAGTATTTGGATCAGACAGTAGTGCCGATATTGCTACAAGCGTTGTCTTGTTTAGCCAAAGAGAGACCCGCTGATCCTATAAGCTTTCTCGCTGGCTATTTACTTAGAAACAAGAGTCAGTACGATAACGGCGGCTCGCCGCCGACTAGTCAGTGATTGCTTCCCTGTCCATGTGCGCATTTTATGGTAATATATGAACTTTACTTCCTAAAAATCTCTTTTTGATACTTCAAGGACATATTTACGTTATATACGTATTATGTACTTGTGTATTTTTGAACGAAATAAAAATGAATTAGCTCCCTATTGTAGGGACAGTAGTGACTTTTTAGCGGAGTAATATAGTGTTATTCTGTGGAATGCAAAATATACGTTTTTTAAATATTGAAATTATTTTAAATAAATATTGTTTTTTATATAAAAGTAATAGCAACATCAGAATTACCCTAATTGCAATAGCAGTTATAGAATTGATATTAAATTGTTATTGACACATAATACATATTAAAAAGAGTGGCTAATTTTTCTATACAAGTATATAGATAAAGTGAAATTGAAAAATATAATAATGTGGCTTTTATGAAAGAATATCTTAAAAATACATTAAAAAAGCGTATAGACTTCTTTGATTTTCAATTCTTTGCAAATTTACAGCGCGAAAGCGAACAGAAGAAAGGGTGGAGAAAAGGGCCGCTGCCATCAATCCAATAAATCGTAATGAACCTTCCCTGCTCGTGTCGATTTTAATTGGAACGGCGATTTAATTGGAGGCAATTAAATGTAATCGCGCAATGAATCGGCGTTAAATTTATCTCGCGCTCCAATAAAATCGATAATTTACATCGGACGTGCAACACTCGCGAATCTTGCCGTTGCGAATAGAGAAAGGGGAAAAAGAATGTCTAGACACACGCATACAGCGCTCGGTTTTATTATTCTTCGTGTCTTATTTCGTCTCTCGTTGCGGTTTTTGTCTCGACGAAAACTCGTCGGTTGGTCTTACCGAGTTTCGCCAGAGTAATTGGGCTCCCTTCGGGGCGTCGTTGGCGAGGCACAAGGAAAAGAAAATCCGTGTAGCGGCGTCCGATTGTACCGCACGAGCTCTAAACGACGACGCGAGAAGATATCGGGGTAATTTCGTGACCGACAATTCGCACGGCGACATCATCGGACCTGGTCCAATTAACGGCAAGCTATCCTCTTGCTCGGGTTCTCCTCGTATATCCTCTCGTAGAATCCTCGACCTTTACCCGTACACACATACATCGATCGCGAACTCTTAGCCTTTTGTTTTGTAGACGTTCAGTTGGGAGGGTCGACGCGTTTCTGTCGTGATAAGATAAAGGCACTAAGCAGTATTTTTACCAAACTTGAGTTTCTCGTGCAAAGTACTTTACCAGTAATTTGTTCGTCTTAGAAACGTAAAGGCCGTCTCTGTAAAACAACAGATCAGATAATGCGACAAACTAAAAAAAAAAAAAAAATAAAAAATTTAACTATCTTGAATATGCCTTTTCTTTTTTCGAGAAAATAAAGCTTCCACGCGTTTATTATTTATTATTTATATAATATTTTCAAAAAAGTGATATTTTATTTCATAATAATTCCATGTTATGTGTATGTGTGCGTAATATAAATTGTGCTTTTAGCATGCGATAAAACGCCGTAGAAGTTTGAATTTTACTAGATGAATAAAGGACTGATACATTTTAACATTTTATATGCTCGTACATTGTCGAACGACACAGTAATATCGGTTGTGTTTCTTTTTTCTATGTATTCAGAGTGAACTTCCACATTCACCACTCATTCCTACAACGGATCACGAATAAATGCGCAAAAGTGGAAAGTCCATGCTCGCGGCACAATACAGAAGTTCGATGTGACTGTTGATAACGCAGCAACATCCATCTTTACTTTTTTTACTTCCCTACGAGAAGCACGCAATAGTTTCCACGTCGAGTTGCTTCCATCTTCCTCTTTCCACATTCCTGTTTGCTGTGCTTTTCCAACTTCAGAACTATGTAAGTAGCTTTATGCAATGTGCTAGAACATGAATATACAGAGTTTATCTTGAACCAAGCGTTTTTTTTTCGATTATGGATATAATGCAGATTTAAATAATTCGGCTTAAAAATGGATCATTTTTTAATAATTATATATAATAGTTTGATTTAAGATTAACGTTGAGTTTTATATTTCATCTAAAAGAGCTCTTTTTTTCTTTTAAGAAAATATTTTGCATTTTTTTATACTAATTTATAGTTTTATACTTTTTTATCTTTATATAGTATCATCTCTAAAAAATCTCTACATAAATTTTTTTTTCATTGTTATATCCATAGTAAAAAAAAAGTCTTATGTTTGAAGACTCTGTCTCATGGATTGCAGCCGGTATAATTTTTGCAAGTTTAACGATGCATGTACATGTAATGAAACGCGACGATTGACGCATAGTTACTATTTTATATATGTATGTCTACAGCATCGAATCCGTATCTATATCGAAAATTGAATTCGCCGAAATTGTACCGGTTTCAATACTTGTTCTGTACTATCCCAGATCCAAATATTCCGGATATAGATATCTGCCTATTCTCCGTTCCATCCCTGCATTATTCTCGTGCGAGTCGCACGTTCGATACGCGCGCAATAATCACGCCGAATGCCGGATCAGCGAAGTATTTCGTAGTTGTACTAACAGTGACCGTGATCATGTCGCGTGTCGAATGTGCAAACCGAAAGGTAGGTGGATAGATAGATCCCCCGAGCGTGTCCTCTCCAGAGGCCCCCTTATTGCGGTTTGCCGTGCACATATGCGCGATACGCATATAGAGGCGAGCGTGTTGCACGCGTGTGTACACAAGCGTGCACGACCGAAGAGAGAGAGAGAGTGCCTACGATAACTGTGGGGCCCTAGCTAATGGCCGAGCCGTGTCACGATTTTCGTCAGGGCGTTCAGGTTCGAGAACCCTGCAGATTCACGCCTGCACGCCCGGCCTTGGGAGGACTCGGTCCAATTGGCACGCATATTGGAATTCTATTACCGGGATTACGGCCGGTAATTGCTCGGTTTAGCGCAATATCGCACGGCCGTCTGTCCGCGTCGCCGACGCTCCGGCAAGACCAGCGCGCGCGGATTAGCCGCGCGCCTAATCGTTGCCCGCGCCCGCACGTGATCCCTCGTTACGACCCCGGCGATTAATTGCTGGTGGATGCCGAAAACGTTAATCCATCCCTCGCCCTCCTATCGTATTGTATTATCTTTTCATACCGCGGCTCTGATAATTATAATAAATCACGCTGTTTATCGAGATATCTTTAAATGTAAATAAAATTAAATATAAATAATGCAAATATATATACAAGACATTTGTAAATCTTTAATTTTGTCTCTCGCAAAGTATTCTGTGTCAATATTCCCGAGACCGCTTTTATAGGAAGATATCTAAGATCTACTTTGATAAGAAGAATTATATATTAGTTAATGGATTAACAGGCTAGTATAAATATAGCTGTATGTACTTGCTTCTCTCCCTCTCCCTCTCTCTATCTCTGTTGGCGTTCGATTTCGATCTGCGTTTCAAATACGCAGCTTCAGATACTCAGCAACTCGAGATGTTTACGATGTAGGTACGTCCTTTGTGGATCGGAGTTAGGGAATCGTAACCCACTAAAACGGATCGGGACGGCTTTTGAAAGCTAAGATTAATTAATGCAGCTTGATTAATTAAGCTATGCAGCGGAATAACGCCGATAATTAAATAATGCTAGTTCCTATTATTCACTATAGGAGTCAAAGGATCGTAATATTCACGATTAGAGCGCTGATAGGAGGAAATTATCCTTTGTAGCCCTTTCTAGGAATAGAATTTAGAGATTATGTGTGAATTTTTGCTAATGAAGTATTTACGTGCAGATACATAATTTCTATCTAAATAAATTTTGCAACTTTAATGTTCCGAAATAAATTTTATAGAGAAAAGAACTTTATATATAATTGTTACAAAAAGTATTTAGTATCTTCTTCTGTAAATGGCATAAAAAATTGTATATGGATTCAACATAACATTTAATTAATATGATGACATCAAGCAATATTCTACACAATACTATACTAAAAATTGCTGAGAAAAGAGCGTTGAAATATTCTTTACAGTTTAACATTTCTGCGTCAGATTTTTTTTCTAGAAATCACCGATTTGGAGAATGATTTTTTTTTTTTTTTTTTTTTTTTTTTTTTTTTTGGAGGTCTGTCCAAGATAGAGACGACGGTGAACAAAATCGCTGACGTTCCCGATCGGCCAGTATAAGAATACAATTCTTAAGAAGCGCGACGGGATTTTTAGAGATTCTCTTCACTGATGCGCGGCACAGGATTATATAAAATGTTTCTACATAACTGAGAACTCTCTCTCTCTCTCTCTCCACCGCAGCTCTTTGCTTTGCCGGGGTGTCGGGGAAAAAGCGCTTACCCGGCAGATTCGTGCTGGCTAAAGCCCTCCTTTCTCTCGTATTTTTTTGCCGCTTGAGTTTTATCTGATAACGGCAAAAATATTTTTCAGTCTCGCCCGTGGAAGGTGATACACGATCTTTTGTTGTCACAGCAAAAAGCCAAAGCAATAAATACCGATATGAATTCCGGGCCTCTATATATTTTTACGATTAACTGCATTTCGGATTTCGAACCCCAGCTATTGCACGAACAACAAGTTTGCACACTCATGCGTAAGAATTTATAAAATATTGGCATACCTAAGTCTTTCATTTAGGAAAGCAAATTTTATGTAATTTCTACGAAAAATACGAGAAACTTTGATTGGCGTTGTTTATAATTAATAACAACAAATAATTGCATTCTCAATATTTCTCGATTTATTAATCTGTAAACAATAACTTAATAATTGTATACTACAAAAATATTTTGAATAATTATTAGGTACTTCCGTATTGAAGCGTTCGAATATTCGAGTTTCAAAATAGAACTGTGTGATGCTATTCGAATATTTGAATATTCAAATGATTTCAAAATTCAGAGATTTATTTTGCAGATGCGTTTTGCTTCGACAAAAAAGGCAAAACGCCTCTGCTCTTCTCGATTCAATACGAGTCGGCGCTTTTGAACCGGTTAATCCGCGAAGTGGTATTATTTCCGGCGAGATAGCCACGCTTCGGGCAGGGTCACTACGTTATCGGGTAACGCGCGCAGTCAACAATCGCGACTTCTACGGGGGCACAGCTCGCCGGCAAAACTTAAATATTTGTCAGAGATTATATTCATACTCTCTCCGGATTCACGGGTCGACTTTTTAATCAGTTTGTCGACGTTCTTGCTCGCGCGTTCTCTCCGTTCCACCGAATTATCCCGCGGGCCTGCCACAGATTTTCATTTCAGATCTGGCTGCGCGGACTATGCGAGAGAAAATAAAAGCTCCGTTCCTCATCTCTCCTCTTTCATTCCTCTCTCCCTTTCTTTCTTGATTTCAATCTGTTTGATGGT